TTCTCCTTTCCCGTTTCCAGTTAAAATGAGAAATTCGATATTCATATAGAATTTTGTATATAATCCAAAAAAAAAAAAAAAAATTCAACATGACTTTCTATTCCACCGATGATCGATAATTTTCCTTCGATCGAAAAATTTCGTAAATTTTTGAATGTCTGTTCCCACTTCTCTCGTTCGTGGTTTGTTTATCTCGTCACGTTGTGTTTTCAAACACAATGTTCGTAATACGCGGAAGCGGTTATTCGAGGAATAACACGAGTTGTACAACAAAGGAGGGCCGCAGAAGGTTTCGACGATTTGACGGAGAAACAGGCTCGCGCGTTATAAATATCGGCGATCAGGTGTCATTGACCATGAAGACACCCATGGAAGACGTTCGCTTCGCCTACGTTCTATCGGGACAACCTGCTATCTAAAGTTACTAAACTGAGCTCCACGTCTCTCTTTATTGAGATTCCACCAGTAAATAGAAAAACTTTCGAAAATGAATCAAATTCTACTCGGCATCTTTTGTATATATAAACCAATCGGGAGTGAAATTTTAATTTACGATTTACTTCTACCATGGAATCACCAATTGTGCGCAGGTGTAAATAATTTTATCCTTCCTCTTTATTTCCCAATTCGCGCGTTGAAAACGATATATAATCGATTTAGAATGATCGATAAAACGTTTCGAGCAAGTATTGCGCGCACAAAGTTGGATTTTATCGAGTCGAGCGAACGTTTACGATCTTCGAAACCACCTACTCTCGTCACGTTCGGGATGGATTTCATATTTCAAGATAAGATCTTTCTTTCCTCGTATTGCGACGAACTCGAAGAAGATATCGTCGAGTAATTAAATATTTATCAAGTACATGTATAACGATAAGACGTGAAGCAATTTCTCAAATTTCATTTGTACTCCACGAACATTTGTGTTCACGCGGGGGTTTACAAGAAAGGAAAAAAGAAAAAAAAAAGGAAGGAGAAAATTATGCGAAAATGAAACGTCGCATCCTGGCATTCCTTCACATCCATTTCCACCGGAATCAAAACATCACCACGAGACGACCATCTTCACCGATTGCACCAACAGCAACAACAAAGTTCTCCTCTGCCAACATTTTCGCTAAACAAAGCTACTTCATCCTCGCAAAAACAACCCCTCATCATGGTCACGGAGGTTTTCATCGCAGGAGACCGCAGCAGCGTCGAGGCGCAATCGAAGCGTGAAACCGCGACGATCGGCATCACAACCGATCCACGATCTGCTGCTCCTCGACGACGACGACGACGACGTCGAGGGAGAACCGACTATTATATCCATCGCTCGACACCCGCTCTTTCCCCTCTTCTTTTCCTTCTCCTTAAATCTCCGAAGGCGGCCGTGACCTGGCCGAATCCGAAGTTGGCGCGAATTTCGAGGCGATAATTTCACGCGCGGGCCCCTCACGCGCTGCGGCCGATCCGTTATCCGGGCGAGGAGGAGGAAGGCAAAATAGAAGGCGAGGAAGGCGGCCCCGGCACGCAAAGCGTCCCGCTCTTGCGTTCGCTTCGTGAGAAAAGCGGGAGGGGGGCAGTGGGCCTCCCGGTGAATGATTGCCCGGATCGGTGATAAAGTCATCGCCTTTAGCACCGGCGTAAGATGATACATCGGCGGACGATGCTGCGAGGAGATTGTCCCGCGGTTGTTCGAAGAGGCCTCGAGGCCTCTTGGCTGCAGTCGACGCGTACCACGACTCCTTCTTTATTTCCTCTTTCTCTCTCTCGAGAGAGAGGAGGAGGAAGAGGAGTATATCCTCGTTCCGGTCGGTATGGGCGCCTTCAGAATTTCAGATATTAAGGCTGATACCGCGAGTATCCCACTAAAATATCACGAGAGTGTCGCCTCGACGAGAGATTTCTCTTTGCCTCGATGGAGAGGAGGCAGCCTCTCGGGATCGTCCACCGAGATTACGTCTAAACGAGTTAA